AGTGGTTGGAGTCGTTTGGTGTGAGTGCCGTTGATAAGCCATGTACAAACCACAGGTGTATTTTCGCATTTCGCGTCTTTATACTTATAAAGCACGCTCTCTCTATTCTATAAGAGGCTATCGGGAGCTCCGAACAAGTAGCTTAACAGTCACATAGCTTAGGTTCTCTATTGGCATGATCCTATGGTGGTACCTCGACTTGGGGCCAAATTACGACTTACCGAGAACAGGACTAACTACCTTATATCAGTACCCGTGTGCGTGCAGATGAGCTGAGTGCTAGACTAGTATCAAGGAGATTTGAAGGAATACATGACATCACATGCAGGCGACTGGGGCCTTCCAAAGCGGCCGACTTCGAGATTGTTTACCATTGTGTCTCTTATCAAGAACAGCGCGACAAGTCACATGATGGGTCCAGACCCTTGGATGGGGCGAGACTTCTGTAAATAGACACGGACGAAGTGAGTTGCCGACGGCCGAGCGTGCCTACGCATCAGAATAGCTGTGCCGGTTAAACATCAAATCGCGATGGCACCGGCACTTACCGAGACAAGTGGAACTTTGGTCTATCACAACAACCAGACTAGCTACGGACACGGGGAAGGTGTCCACAGGTAGCCATATCATAGACGATGAAGACTGATGCTCGGGACGAGCACTAGACGAAGAAGACGCCAGCTCGGAAGCTTCCGTTCGATTAACCAATAACTCTCAAACCGATTGAGTACCAAGGAGAGCTCTGACTCATAGAGCCGGCGCGTGGCCAATAGGAGTCAGGGGATTCCCTAAGATCGTCCCGCGGCTCCACGCCGGTGATACGATGGTACTCGGGGTGCGGTGGAACGATAACTATGAAGCCGAGATAAAGGTCTAAACCAATATAACCAACTAAACAATCAATCAAACAACAACTCCTCCTCCTTATGAGTAATGACAATCGCGGGTGTTCGGGGGTAAAGACCAAGTATTAGGTCAATAGATCGCTTACTGTTCAGAGAACAGGGGAGTGGGATAGACAAGGGTTGTGAAACCAAAGTCGAGGAATACGCGCTATGTTCGAGACTTCGTACAAGCGGTGGGTTCGTGGGTTTTTAAGGCAATAACGGCCAGTAGCCGGCGAGTTTATGTCAATTAAGACGGGTTTGTTGGATTTCTCCAGGTTTGGGACACGATACACTCCTGCAGGACCGCAGTATATAACACAACACAGAACACAAATCACAGAACACAAAACACACACAATACGACCCGCAGTGCTGGACAGAGTCCACACAATTCACAATTCAGTCACACAGTCAATCACAGATACAATCCAATCCAATCCAATCGTTTGCCAAAGGTACAGTACTCGGTTCGAGATAACGGTCACTTGGGTCTTAGAGCTAAACGACAACTCCGAGCCACAACGCCGTTGCGTATGTGAACAAGGTAAACCGAGTCATGTCACTGCACCGTTGTGCGCGAAACCCCAAGGCAGTCTGCTCTAGAAGAGTCAAAGACTAATCCTAGCCACAGCACCGATGTGCCTGTGAACAAGATAAACCAAACGATGTTGTGCACGCGAGTTGTACACAAAACTGTCGGGCAGTCTGCTCTAGAAGAGTCAAAGACTAATCCTAACCACAGCACCGATGTGCTTGTGAACAAGGTAAACCAAACGATGATGTGCACGCGAGTTGTACACAAAACCGTCAGGCAGTCTGCTCCAGAACCTCTCTAAACTACGTGCTTTTATACTACTGGGATCTCGACTTTACAACACATCTATTACTACACCTCGGAAAGCACTCCATCCCGGCGTGGAGCCGCGGGACGATCTTAGGGAATCCCCTGACTCCTATTGGCCACGCGCCGGCTCTATGAGTCAGAGCTCTCCTTGGTACTCAATCGGTTTGAGAGTTATTGGTTAATCGAACGGAAGCTTCCGAGCTGGCGTCTTCTTCGTCTAGTGCTCGTCCCGAGCATCAGTCTTCATCGTCTATGATATGGCTACCTGTGGACACCTTCCCCGTGTCCGTAGCTAGTCTGGTTGTTGTGATAGACCAAAGTTCCACTTGTCTCGGTAAGTGCCGGTGCCATCGCGATTTGATGTTTAACCGGCACAGCTATTCTGATGCGTAGGCACGCTCGGCCGTCGGCAACTCACTTCGTCCGTGTCTATTTACAGAAGTCTCGCCCCATCCAAGGGTCTGGACCCATCATGTGACTTGTCGCGCTGTTCTCGATAAGAGACACAATGGTAAACAATCTCGAAGTCGGCCGCTTTGGAAGGCCCCAGTTGCCTGCATGCAATGTCATGTATTCCTTCCCATCTCCTTGATACTAGTCTAGCACTCAGCTCATCCGTACGCACACGGGTACTGATATAAGGTAGTTAGTCCTGTTCTCGGTAAGTCGTACTTTGGCCCCAAGTCGAGGTACCGCCATAGGATCATGCCAATAGAGAACCTAAGCTATGTGACTGTTAAGCTACTCGTTCGGAGCTCCCGATAGCTTCTTATAGAATAGAGAGAGCGTGCTTTATAAGTATAAAGACGCGAAATGCGAAAATACACCTGTGGTTTGTACACGGCTTATCACCGGGACGGAGTGCTTTCCGAGGTGTAGTAATAGATGTGCTGTAAAGTCGAGATCCCAGTAGTATAAAAGCACGTAGTTTAGAGAGGTTCTGGAGCAGACTGCCCGGCGGTTTTGTGTACAACTCGCGTGCACATCATCGTTTGGTTTATCTTGTTCACAGGCACATCGGTGCTGTGGCTAGGATTAGTCTTTGACTCTTCTAGAGCAGACTGCCTTGGGGTTTCGCGCACAACAGTGTAGTGACATCACTCGGTTTACCTTGTTCACATATGCACCGGCGTTGTGGCTCGGAGTTGTCGTTTAGCTCTAAGACCCAAGTGACCGTTATCTCGAACCGAGTACTGTACCTTTGGCAAACGATTGGATTGGATTGGATTGTATCTGTGATTGACTGTGTGACTGAATTGTGAATTGTGTGGACTCTGTCCAGCACTGCGGGTCGTATTGTGTGTGTTTTGTGTTCTGTGATTTGTGTTCTGTGTTGTGTTATATACTGCGGTCCTGCAGGAGTGTATCGTGTCCCAAACCTGGAGAAATCCAACAAACTCGTCTTAATTGACATAAACTCGCCGGCTACTGGCCGTTATTGCCTTAAAAACCCACGAACCCACCGCTTGTACGAAGTTTCGAACATAGCGCGTATTGCTCGACTTTGGTTTCACAACCCTTGTCTATCCCACTCCCCTGTTCTCTGAACAGTAAGCGATCTATTGACCTAATACTTGGTCTTTACCCCCGAACACCCGCGATTATCATTACTCATAAGGAGGAGGAGCTGTTGTTTGATTGATTGTTTAGTTGGTTATATTGGTTTAGACCTTTATCTCGGCTTCATAGTTATCGTTCCACCGCACCCCGAGTAGCATCGTTTCACCGTGTCGATGTAGGGTTACCTCCTGCTGGTCTGCATCCCCATTGATGGAGTTTCAGGTACCTCGAAAGGTCTTGTCTATGGTGTGTGCGAAGTGGGTATGGTGTGTTTGGTGAATTGCGGTGTTTTGCCGAATCAGGTTTCCTGGTGCTTCCGGATTGGGGAATCGCTGGTGTAATGTTGCTCCTGCGCGAGGGCATACACAAAGGGTATTCGGCCCTCACAGCACACCCTAGCTCTTTCCATACAGTTCTTCTGGGATAACCTGGAGCTCCAACAACATTTTCAGACCTCAGTGGACTGTTTGAATGAGAATCCTTGCACCAACTGGTCCATGGCATTGGGATGAAGCATGTATATAAATTTCCAAACAAGACAGTCACTGCTATGCACTGTTCAACACCTCCAACCCACGTGAATCAAGTGCGAAATACCTATGGCCACGGGAATTGTTGTCCATGATTGGTCAAAAGGCTGACTGGGATCAGAGATTTGTATGCTGCCTGGTGTGGCACACTTCCAAAAGCAGTGCCACAATGATAAAACATGGTGCACTTTGAATTCACTGTCCAGTGATTCTCATGTTGAGTCACTCCACCTGAAATATTCAGTGCCATCCCTTCGAAGGTAACTTATTAGCCTTGTGAATCCGAGGCGAACACAGAACTCAAGAGATGGTGATAAGTCATGTACAAACCACAGGTGTATTTTCGCATTTCGCGTCTTTATACTTATGTGTCGTCCCCCACCGATGCCGGGTCAAAAGCTATCTGCCCGCTATGTACACTAATTTTATTCGTTTTCTCGTCGCGTCGTGGTGGGTCTGGCTGCCACCTGCTCTGTCCGTTCGATCGTTTGACGCGGCCGTACTCTGTGAAGCCGTTCAGCCTTTCACTCGAAAAATCAATGGGTTGTTGGCTCCCCGCGTACGTGTACACATCCTTGATTACTTTGTTCCCCGCTTGCGAGCGCATGGTTATGGGCACTGGTGGTTATTGGATCTGACGTCCAGGACTCAACGAGCGACTCCAACTTCACGCGCATTAAGTCCCGTCTTGACTCCGTGGCGCCCTTCTCGAATTGGTGCGCATCCAGATTCCACTTCCACATCCCCGCGAGCGGGCGAAGATCCACTTCCGCGCCCCCAGGTGCAGGTCCGCGTCCATGCGCTCGCAACTCCGAATCCCAAACCTTCAATCGACGCCCCCGCGCATCCTGTCCAACGAGAACGAGCGGACGAACGGTTTGATTTGTGATTTATGATTCCGGGGTATGTGGGTGGGTTGAGTTGGGTGACGTTGTGTGGTACTTAGGTGCGAGGTAGGTGTGAGGTGCGGGCGTGGAGAGGCGATGGGGCGGAGGGAGGGCACGGAGAATTTGTCGCAAGGTGCAAGGATGTAGGGCTGTTATTAGATTTTTCAAAAAAAATGGATCCTGGTTGAATGCACCGAGTGATCATGAGCGGGGTTCCTCGAGGTGGGGTAATACCGGCGAGTCCGATGAGTAGGAATGGAAAATATATAACAAAAGAAGAAACAGTCCTACATCCAGATGCAGGGATTCGAACCCTAGACTGCCTCTTAATTTGCTTTAAATATCACCAGAGTGGGAGGCTGTGTTCCCACTACACCACACCTGAACTCCTTCTTTAGTGCTTGGGCTAGTTTTATCAGCTCATTCAAGGAAAGTCGGGAAGATAAAATTCGATTGGCGTAAAGTCCGACCACCTGACCGGTCAACTTCTTCCCATCTCCCTCTACTCACTTGCCTCGGACTCTGCTGGTATGCTATTCACTTTGGGCATTTAATAAAAGCCTATATACTCTTCAAGGAAAGCCATATCACGCAAGTTTTCAGACTAAATATTGTGAATGTGTGTCCCGATATATCGATACGCTGCCTGATATCTAATCTCGTGAGTAGATATATATCTAAACTCAAGCAGACCGATATTGATTCTCGAACGTGGCACATCAAAAATTTGAGAGACATCTTGGCGTCGTTGACGACGATGTTCATGGGTAGTTTCTCATCGTTCGGAGCAGTGAGCGGCATGGCGGCGTCGTGGGCGGGAAGAGCGGGATATCAGATCACTGCGCCGGCTGCTTGGTCGTGCCGCTTCAAGAGTCCGAAGTCCTCCTTCCGACTCCCGACGCCGCCCCTCGTTCCATCGGGATTTCTGAGCGGAATTGAACAAGTTGAATATCAAACATAGATCACGTGACTAGTTTCAACTTCCGTTCTCCGGTCTGGAACGACTTCTACGTGTCAAGTTGCAGTGAAAGGCATTGAAAAAGATTTCTGTATAGCTCCAGGATGCTATATAGCCTTCCCCAAACTCAACACCTCCAATTTCTGCAATATCCGCAATTTCAGCTAGTACACCGCCGTTTGTAAAAGATGTACTAAAAATGATTTGTGGCCAATGTTTGTCGAAGCTTGCTCAAACATTCTCAAAATGTGACAAGGTCAATCCCGGCAGGCTCTTTTAATTGTGACATCCAGAAAATGTAGACTGAAATGTTACTGAACTATTGTCCACCACATTTTTGACGCAGTGTACAAACACAAAACAAATCTTCAGGCAAATGCTCACTACATCACTCGGCAGTTGCTTAAGAAATAGTATTCTGCAAGAATTATACAGCAGACAGTAGAATATTTACGTCACATCCCGGCGCGATGGGAGTATCAATGAACAGTTGTCGACAGCGGTGGTGGAGGCGGGGGAGGGGATCGCGGATGTCGATGCTGCATTGGCAGTCTGTCGACAGCCGGAAGCGCCGCCGATCGCGGCAAGGTCCACGGCGCCGTAACACCTCATGTCCGGATCCCATATATATTGCTTGAGCCAGGTCAGCCAAGGACGGCGACTGGAATGATGACTTACTTCGAGTTCGACATGTTTTCGCATCAGGGTGTTGGCCACGCATCTCCGCGAGTTCACGGTCAATTGTCGTCAAGTCGATGAGCGTCAAATCAGAAACTTGGAGCCGGCACGAGCCATGAATCCTGTTCAGCTAATGGCGGCGTTGTGCAGCTGCAGTTTGAGAGATTTGATGAGGAGCGAGAAGGTCCACACTTCCGGCGGCACAGAAAGACTTGGAACTTGAGCGAAATTAATGTCACATTTGAAGCTCCGGCTTAGAAGAGTCGACAGAGCCTTGAAACCGGAGCAGTGCGCTGCTTTCAAGGGAATTGAATATCTTCCGGCCCTCTCTATACTTGATCCTGTGAGTTCTGGTTGCTCTTCGGGCCATGGAGCTTGAGGTGCGGCTTGAAGTAGCATCTCGAGGGGACGCCAGCGATCAGGACGATCGGGATGTCATCCGGGAGCGGCTGGAAGACTGGGCGGTCGGGGGAGAGGTTGCGGGCCGTGATGAGCATCGTCGTGCGCTGCGGCGCTGGCGCGGGGGAGGAACCGCGTCAGCAAAAGTCGTGGGAGGTGGCGAAACTGAGGTGTAGCTGGATGCTTGGGTTTGCTGCGTGGAAGAAGCGGGTAACGGAGACAATGCTGGTGCCCGGGGTGCTGAGGTGACCGCCGAAGCAGGTGAGGGCATTGCGGGTGTATGCGAGAAGACAGTAGCAAAGGCCCGTTGGCTGCAGTCTGAGTGTGGGTGCGCTGCCGTCGGAGGGATCACACGAAAGGTAAGAGCAGGGAGCAGACACAGAAGTGAAACAGCAAGGAAACGGCAGTGAGGGGAAGGGGAAGGAACAAAGAAAATTGACACCAGCCAACATGCACGTGATTGACAATGCCCGCACAAACAACGCGCACGGACCTTCCAATTGTTACTTTGATTTCAGACTTCTCGTACTCGGTTGCTGGCACCTCAGGCCTCGAGCGGATTACATCTCTGAGAACTCCTCTGCCACGATCTCAAGTCAAGATTGGGGTTAGCTGTACTGCATCAGCGCAATGCCGTCAATCAAAGTCCCGATACTTCCGACTCCCGAGCGGCTTGGATTGGGCTTGGACAATCATTGAGTTCGCAACATATAATACCTCAGAACATGTAGGCATGTCAATATTAATACTAGTTAACTACTCTGTGTGCACTGGCTGCAAACATATATGTGCGGTGTTTCAACAGTTTCGTGAATATTTTGAGAACATTAGTCAGATGTTCTGGGAACATTTTGCGCCAAATGTGTTCAAAATGTGCTCATTGACCTGTTCAGTACATTTCACATGATATTTCAGCAGTATTCAGTCTAAACATTTCAGAAATAAAGATCTCGAATGGTGGTGTAGTTACATCATGCGAGGTCTGTTCTACGCTTCCACCTGACCATCGCGCGCGCGGTTCTGGGAAAACTTCCCATGTATTCCGGAGAGCACTAAACAGTCATCCCATTGTGGGACGCCTTGGGTCTTCTGATTACCCTAAGCTGACCAAGCTGAACATTGCAAGGCAAGCTTAAGACGAGCCCGCCGACCGCGCCACCGACGTGCCCGCTCTTCTGCACCTCAAGGATCGCAAGGCCAGTACCCCCAATATAAATTATACGAGTGCCCACAAGAAGAAGAGCAGCAGTCCGAGCACGACTGCGGCTCGTCGATGCGTGAGCATATAGAAATTGAACTACAGTTTAACCGGCGCCGGGTGGCACGAGATATATACCCAGTAATCCCGCCACATTTGGTCCGTCGACAAATAGACGCCGGGGAACCACATTTCATTCGAAAAGCGGGAATCTGTGACGGTGTGGCATTTGAACGAGATCTGGTATCTGCCTGAAGTAATGGAAAACGACTTGTCCGAGTGGATGTAGACGTCTTCGCAAGGGAGCTGAGATCTCACGTCCCGTTGAAAAGTCTGGGCTGTGATTCCTCTCAGGCGCAATTCATCGACGACGAGAGCTGTAGGCGCCTGAAGCCCCAGCTTTACGTCGCACTCGGTATCATCAGGACAGATAGGTCAACACCGAAGAGAGTTGTTGACACTTTATGTCAGCTGTCAATGATGACCAAATTGTCTCGATTTGAGATGGGAAACAAGAAATTACTGTGCGAATTCAAATCTTCTGAAAGCAGAGTTGAACTTGACTTTGGGAAAATGAATATCCCCAAAGCAAAAACACAACCTTGATGTTCGGAAAGAAAACGAAACCGTGACCGCGAAAACAAAACATAAGTCAGCATGTTTTCGTTTTGACCTGTCAGGTTTACGTTGGGGACGATTTGGTTTTTGTTCTGGTCGGAAGTATTTCACGCTCCCTCATCAAACACGATGATCATTGACCTTCCACACGGTCTCGGTCAAGTTCTTCCGCGACGGGGTGCGTGCCGCCGTCGCGGAATTCGCCCGCATCCGGGTCCCCATCGCCATCATCCATGGCTCGTACGATATCGCATATCCCACCGGCGGATGTGCTGAGGAGCTCCTCAAATCACTGAAAAGTGGGGGCCATGACGTGAATGTCACTTCCGTCCAGGGAGCCCCGCATTTTGCTAAAGTTACGCATGCCAACAAGTACGCCGCTGCGATTCTCGCCGCTCTACAACTCCCTGAGCTGTTTTTATCGATTCAGGGTTAATACGCTCCTGTACGAGTTCGGCTTGGCTCATTCTTAGGGAGGAAACATTCCCCCTGCGCAATTCAGCGTCGAGTCGCCGTTCACAGAAATCATGATTGAGGTGGGGCTCCGGGACGATGGGTCCGACAGCGATTCAGATTGATATGCATCGATAATCTTTGTGTAACTTCGAAGTCTGTTTACGCTGGGCTTACACCCCAGTAGAGCCGTGAATGTCCTGAGATTTGAACACGAAATACTTATTGTTTTATTTTATTTTATTTATTTGGTACCTACACTCCCTCGAGTCCACACAAGGTTCTTTCAATCCACTCTGGAAACATTTTACGCTCGGTTCCAGCGAATTAACGAATACTCACTGGTCACTCTGTCCCAGCATTGGTTATAGGCAGCGAAGCATGAGATTCTGAGTCACCGGGCGCATTACAAGAACGTTTGAGCCTCAAAATGAACTTGTAGCCACGGATCACCGCCACGGCGACCATGGCGAGCAGTGCTGCCATCTGGTCCATTTCCAGGACAGATATCTCAGTCTGCAGGAAGTATCCGCCCCGTGGGAAGAATGCGGAGATGTACACCGCTGGCCAGTAGGTAATGCAGGCTCCACCCAGCACATTCCGTAGAGGAAGGCGACCATGAGCGCACTTAAGAGTGGCCCGCATGTAAACACCGCTCCCGAGGCGAATCCGATAGTTGGGCTGAGGATCAAGGCGCTCCGTAGGTTGCGGCGGCGAGCGATACGGACTACATCAGCAAAACCTGGGGGTAGCTACACAGCACTACATAGCAGCCCATAGCTCGTGTAGTGCCCATAGCAGCTGTAGTGAAGGTGGTTTACTTCAGAGTGCTCTGTAGTTCAGGGGGTGCGCTCCATAGTGCTCTGTAGTTGAATAGGGGCTATTACAGCTGATCTCGAAACTAATGAGACGGCCAGATTATTTTTTTCTGCGTTCCCAAAAAGGAAGGTTTGGTCTTCCACAGCTAATCCATTCAATAATTACGCGAGACTGAGTGTCTAGAATGCCTATGGGTTGTCAAATGCTCAAAACGACATAGAGAAGCGAGAGTCTGCGCTAATGGCCGAAACAATCCGTGCGA